GAATGTTAGTTAGTCCGAGGCATCGAATAAAAATTCTAGATAAACGCTTTATAATTTACTTTTTGCAAATATGGACATTTGAAATCTGGTAGGTACCGTAAGGTGGGTTGACGTTGGGCCTAGGGTGTGACTGGAGTAAAGTTAAGATGACATTAACCAGTTGTTTTATTTAAATAGTGCTGCAAATTTAAGTGTCATAAATAGTAGCAAAAACACGTTTTTAAAAATGTCCACAGGCAAGGAAATTTGTTCAAACCTACACGCGATCTTGGGTCATACATTTTTTTTTTTATTATAGTCACTTTAACACTCTTGGGTCATTCGTGACTTGTCCGGGGGTGAGATTTGAACTCGTGACTTTGGCGTGAGAGGTATGGATGTTAACCACTACGCCGGGGTCGCCCCCCTTGGGTCATACATGCGTGCTCCAAAAAGCTACGTTACATTTACATATTTTAATATATTTGCACCAAATTTTTGTTTTGGCCCAGTCTCACCCCATATAAGGTTGTTATTGGTGTATTTTTAATTAATTTTAGTAGAATGAGATATCAATTCTAACCAACCGCTTTCATGACAGCCGTAAATATAACTTTGTGAATATGTATCTTAAACATTTGAAGAAAATTAAATTATAATCTGATTGTTTAGATTCTTCTATAACTGAGATTCAGGATTTTTCGAAGATTTAAAATCTTAATTTTCCTTAGTTGAAGATGCTAATTTCAAATAACAGACTGTAGTGGTAATTTTTATACGATAGATGGAGTTGATGAAAGCATAGAGTTGATAGTTCCGTTAGAGTACGGCAGTGTGAAGATTGTATATAGATATTAGAAAAGCGAGCTAGGACAACTTTTAAGGAAGGTACAAATCGGTTTTTTCATATCTCTTTACCAAACTCCCCCTTTGGAGAGGGATGGTGAGGGGTGTCCCCCAGTGGTGGCGGGTTGTCCTAGCTCGCTTTTCTAATATCTATATACAATCTTCACACTGCCGTACTCTAACGGAACTATCAACTCTATGCTTTCATCTACTCCATCTATCGTATAAAAATTACCACTACAGTCTGTTATTTGTAATTAGCATCTTCAACTATGTAAATCGTTGTAGAAGTAATACTAAAAACATATAGTCAAAGTTAATTTTCCTGCTATTCTTACCTCGAAGAATTTTCCTCTCGATGTAAGTCTCAGAATCTAGGTAAGAGATTTAATTACGATTTAATTTTGAAGTCCGGGAGATTCAATGCTGGTCCATGAGCTCAAAACTTTTGGTTATTGATATTATTCTATATTGAAAAAAAAAAATGTTCGAAAATTTTTCGACCATAAATATGTTAGTATATATGTATAAGTATAATTATTGAAATTCTTAATTATTTTCTTTTTAATATTCATGTATTACAATTTTTATGAAATTACAGTCTAGGAAGAAGCTGCAATTTGTAATTATAGGCTAGCTCAAGGTTTGCTCTTTCTCTCGGGTCGGCACAATACTTACTCGGAGTAGACTCACTTCACAAACAAGGTGGACTTAAACATCAATAGAGAAGACGCCCGCGGGCCGTCGTGATGATAAGGCGCTCACGTAAGGAGAGGAGAAACACATCGGTCCAACCACAAGCAAGCGGGGGTGAACCCTCCGGTCCTTACTGGGCTGGGACCTCCTTAGCGTCCGTTTCTCTCTTCGGCGACCGTGTTTTTTTATATACAGGGGGAATCTGCTCCCAGACACCTGAGAAGATAAATCAGGGTGTGAGGATGGGAGATGTAGCGCTCCTGACCCACTAAACCTTACCTTGTGCTCTAGGCCCTTGCCCTCCCCGGAACCGCCCGAAGGCATTACGCCATTGGAGGGGGCCGGTTGCGCTATGGCGCATCACTAAGTGTTGTGTCAGATCTGACACTCGCTATTGCACAGTGAGCAGCTGTGCAGGACATTCCTCTTGTTGATCGCTGTTAGTTGTTCGCCTAAGTTCTAGAGCAGACGTGATAGCCAGCGAACTGTCCAGGGCCAAACAGGACAGATGTGACCGCTTACCAGCTGCGTGTGCTAAGCACTCTAAGAACCCGGTGTCACTCCTGCCTTTGCACAACGAGGGATTGTGCAGGGCTTATCAACCTCCTGGGACGAGCTGGATGGGGTTCCAGCGTCCTTACTCTGCGGTAGTTCGTTTAGCTGCAATATCTCCCCCATGGGTTCGATAATTAACGTTTCCAGGGCACACCACGAGGAGGCGAACTACTTCATGCCCCTTCGGCGACCGTGTGTAATAGACGGAATGACCTGCAACGCTTGGTTCACTGGAGTGCTAGGGAAGGCGTGTCTTACTGGGGTGCCACGCGTCTTGTTGGAGTATCTAAAGCACGTGGTTTTTGTTTGTCGGTCTCACTGCTGGCACGAGGGATATTCCCGAACGACGTCCACGGTAGGGTAAATCGGTACACTTCACAAAGACCAGTAAACGCGCTCGGTCATATATCCGACTCCGGAATTAAGAGACTCCGCGGCTTTTCAACCTCCAAACGCTTCGGAAAAGCTTCACTGATCAATCACGTATGATAACACCTCACACACGTAGAATTTTTCGATTCAACGGATCCCGGGTGGATTGAGTATCGGAAAACCACCATCTACACTAAGACCGAAAAATCGTCGTCGATCTTCACTTATCTTCAAATCCGAGTGAGGGTAAAAGTCTCATGCGGTTTTTTTTTTTCACTTGTATACTGTCCGTCCTCTTCACTGGGATATCGTGTGTGCACCAATCACTAACGCTACAACTTCCAGCTTCGCCTGGAGTCCCCTTTCTGTACTCATTCTCCCAACTCTCATCTTCCATTGTTGATCATCCGGAAATGATGAAACGTAGAGATCTCATGACATTTGAGATTTTTTTTTTTTTTTGTATATTAATTTATTTGATAAGGCTCAACCGAATTAACTTAACAGAGCCGAGGATTCATGGTCATTATACAATACATCTTAAAGCTATAGTCAAAAGGTACAACACAATAAACACTTTATCTTCCGCTATCCAAAAAGCCTCCTCCATCAAAACTGGAGCCGCTTCCAGTAGTTTCATTGTATGGCAAATTGTTGTACGCCAACGAGGGTCAGAGCGCGTCCATTGCAGCAATGGACGCAAAACGTGGTCAGCACTCACACACTCATCACGAAACGGTTGCTTTCCAAAGTCGACGACGCATCGACCGAAAGAACTGCTGATGAAGAACAATGAGGAGGACCACACAATGGTTGCTGCCGAGTAAACAGACGATTGCGTAGCACACATCGAAAGTGGCCTGCTTTTGTCGACAGCCGAGTGAACACTGGACATTTGAGATGTTAGCCGTGTCCTAGGCGCTTAATGCAAAGGTGACACACAAGGAAGAAGTGTTAGTTAGTTTACTAAAATGAACTATGTATACCCATTTTGCTGTGGCAAGTTATTAGCAAAATTCACATTAAAGATTGATTAATTGCGTAGCAAATCAGTTCCGGTCGTATGATGCAGGAATCTAAAAAATTTTGTTTTAAATTTCTGTATGGCAAAATAGTGAATTTTTCATGAACATTAACGACAAAGAACTCACCAACACTGGGAGACCGTGAGCTCCTGCCCACCTGTCATAAAACCATCTCGAGCCGTGTCGGTCTTGCTCAATGATTAAGTTAGTAGAATTTTATTTATATTTTAATTTAGTGCGGATCTTTGCCGTCTTTTTTTATTATATACATAGTTTACAATCTAGCAAACCTTACACACCTTTACACAGTGTGGTTGCGAAATTGTTTATTTTATTTATTTATTTCATAAATGTCTGCATGCATAGACTAACACAATTCATAAACAAGTGCTGGTTAGCTAACACATAATATCTTAAGACTAATTAACAAAAGTATTTTTTTAAATTATGTACAAATTATGGAAATTTACAATTTTACAAGTTTTGAGCTATTCAAATCAAACTATATTTTACATTGTGACTAGTTTTAAACCGATAAAAAATGTTATCTTAGTCTTAAATTATGATAAAGTGATTATATTGCCATATTTCGAAGCCAGAAAATTTGAAAATTATAATTGAAAAGTCCTAGAATTTGGTGTTGGTATCTACGTCTGAGATTTAATTGATGTTTAAATAAAGATGATTGAAAAAAAAATCTAAATACAAAATTCATGGAATCATATAACCATGCGTATTATCTAACATGAGATTTTTCTTAAGTTTGAGATCCTTAAAATCCTTATGAGACAATATGTAATTTCATTACAAAAACTTTAACAAATGATCATTGCTTGTTTAAAGTCAGTATGCTTTTAAGGCTCTCCGAAGCGTTGTTATGAAATAAATACATTACAATTTAATGTTTAACCATTAAAATAATAGCAAAGTTCACCATCATAGGGTCGTATTATTGGACGGAGTGGAAATGTATCCAACAGGAAAATAAATAACAAATAGCCTTGACGACTTTTGATTGAATGGCAATTCCAGAGCTTCTATTTAACCATAGTTTAACAAAACAAAACAAAATGCCACGGCTCCCCTTAGCCCCCTAAAATTTTCTTGCAACGCCAATATACCTTTCTTACATCTTCTTACGAAGCTTCCATTCAACTTTTCCCGATTTCCCCGAAATTTGTTCGAACCCGATTAATCGCGATTCTGTTCCCCCCGAATGTTTCTTTCAATATTTCCTGCGGCAACTTCTTCCAACATCCCCCGGAATCATAAAACAAATTCCCCTGGGAAATGTTTCCCGGGTTATCTTCGCTAGGAAGCACTACTCCCACCAAAGCTCATAGATATATTTACTCACCCATTGTTTATGATGTTCTCTCTTCGAATTTTTGATATTCTGAATTTTAGACTTTCCTTGAAATTGCTTGTTTAATATTTTTGAATGCGATCAATTTTATGTAGAATCATAAAGCAGTTTTCTCAAGCCTCACGCCAACGGTACTGTACTACTGTAATTCACAATTTCAGGGGCGATCGCAGGAACGCTCAAGTACTTCAGTGAGTTCCCCTCGCCGGTGTGCATCTACATGGGACCCCTGCCGCATGTAGCCATTTTCGATCCCGAACAGCTGCAGGTGGTTCTGCATTCTCAGAACTGCCTTGACAAATCCGTCCAATACTCATTTTTGCGAGTTTCCGAAACATTGATAAGTGCACCTGGTAAGCCGAGCTGAAATTCAACTACATCAGCTGTGTACTATCTATGTTCTCATTTATGATTGCAGCTCACCTGTGGAAAGGTCAGAGAAAGGCTCTGAACCCTTCGTTTGGACCTGCCATTCTCAGTAGTTTTGCAGACATCTTCAACAAGAAATGCGTCATGCTGACGGAGCGACTGGGGCAGTACGTTGGAAAACCAGAACGTAACTTCTATCGAGACATTTCCAAGTGTACTCTGGACCAAATCTATGGTGAGTTGAGCCATTTTGGGATGAATCATACAACCACTATTAGTGTATTTTTTCTACAGCGACCGCATTTGGATGCGATTTCAACATGCAACAATCACTAGATGGAGAACGCTCATTGGATCTGCAGGAAGCATACATGAAGCTCATGGCAGCTAGATTTTTTACAGTGTGGAAGTATCCGGAATTCATCTATCGTATGACTAAATCATACAAAAAAGAATTAGAGCTCCGTAAAATATATCATGACAGTATTACGGGAAAGATGGTGCAGCAATTATGCGTTGAAGAAAATCTACGCAGCTCAGACGAGCAGAAGCCTACAAACGAAGATACTGGCACCAGAAAACCTCAAAACTTTATCGAATGCCTTATAAAGTATTTACGTGTGGGTGGTCAAGCTTCCAAGGATAAGTATCCCGTGCGTGTGGGAACTCAATCGTCCAAAGAAGACGTGTTTCCACACGTTGATATGACCATATTTGCGGGTAATGATACATCAGCAAAGACCATTTGTTCCATTTTGCTCATGTTGGCAATACATCCGGAAGTGCAAGAACGTTGCTATCAGGAACTCATGGAAGTCTGTCCGGAGGAGGATCAACCTATTTCATACAAAGATGCCGCAAACCTAACGTACCTGGAAATGGTGTGCAAAGAGACTATGAGACTGCTCCCGGCCGTCCCCATAATGGCCCGAGTAACGTCCGGTGACATAAAACTTAACGATCGACACACCATCCCGGCCAATTGCACCATAATTATGGGCATCTTTCAAATACACCGGGATCCGAAAATATGGGGACCAAACGCGGACAATTTTGATCCGGATAATTTTCTACCGGACAACGTTGCCAAACGGCATCCTTATTCGTACATTCCATTCAGTGCAGGACCGCGGAACTGCGTTGGAATGCGCTATGCCTATCTCTCCTCGAAAATCATGGTCGCACACATGTTGAGAAAGTATCGGCTGAAAACATCGCTCACAATGAGCCAGCTGAGGATCCGGTGCGGGTTGCTGCTGCATATATCCAACGGCTGTCAAATGGCGCTTGAGAAACGGGAAGGCTGGTGATTTCAGAATCATTCCGTCATCATGCAGCCAGGAAAGCGAAAGAAAAAAAACGCCGAAAATGCTCTTATCCATCTAAAATACAAATATATAATAAATTGGCACCGAATGGGTTCAACCAAACCAAAACTATTTCAAATAAAAAAAAACCAATAAGCTTTTGTAGAAAGAAATTCGAATAGTATCTAGTTTCAAACAGGGGCACAATCATACAAGTTTGCTGTTCATTCCTTTCGATTGGAATTAAAGTTAAATGTGGGACTTTAATCTTGATTTTATATCTAACTCCGTGTTCTTGAATGTTAGTTAGTCCGAGGCATCGAATAAAAATTCTAGATAAACGCTTTATAATTTACTTTTTGCAAATATGGACATTTGAAATCTGGTAGGTACCGTAAGGTGGGTTGACGTTGGGCCTAGGGTGTGACTGGAGTAAAGTTAAGATGACATTAACCAGTTGTTTTATTTAAATAGTGCTGCAAATTTAAGTGTCATAAATAGTAGCAAAAACACGTTTTTAAAAATGTCCACAGACAAGGAAATTTGTTCAAACCTACACGCGATCTTGGGTCATACATTTTTTTTTTTTATTATAGTCACTTTAACACTCTTGGGTCATTCGTGACTTGTCCGGGGGTGAGATTTGAACTCGTGACTTTGGCGTGAGAGGTATGGATGTTAACCACTACGCCGGGGTCGCCCCCCTTGGGTCATACATGCGTGCTCCAAAAAGCTACGTTACATTTACATATTTTAATATATTTGCACCAAATTTTTGTTTTGGCCCAGTCTCACCCCATATAAGGTTGTTATTGGTGTATTTTTAATTAATTTTAGTAGAATGAGATATCAATTCTAACCAACCGCTTTCATGACAGCCGTAAATATAACTTTGTGAATATGTATCTTAAACATTTGAAGAAAATTAAATTATAATCTGATTGTTTAGATTCTTCTATAACTGAGATTCAGGATTTTTCGAAGATTTAAAATCTTAATTTTCCTTAGTTGAAGATGCTAATTTCAAATAACAGACTGTAGTGGTAATTTTTATACGATAGATGGAGTTGATGAAAGCATAGAGTTGATAGTTCCGTTAGAGTACGGCAGTGTGAAGATTGTATATAGATATTAGAAAAGCGAGCTAGGACAACTTTTAAGGAAGGTACAAATCGGTTTTTTCATATCTCTTTACCAAACTCCCCCTTTGGAGAGGGATGGTGAGGGGTGTCCCCCAGTGGTGGCGGGTTGTCCTAGCTCGCTTTTCTAATATCTATATACAATCTTCACACTGCCGTACTCTAACGGAACTATCAACTCTATGCTTTCATCTACTCCATCTATCGTATAAAAATTACCACTACAGTCTGTTATTTGTAATTAGCATCTTCAACTATGTAAATCGTTGTAGAAGTAATACTAAAAACATATAGTCAAAGTTAATTTTCCTGCTATTCTTACCTCGAAGAATTTTCCTCTCGATGTAAGTCTCAGAATCTAGGTAAGAGATTTAATTACGATTTAATTTTGAAGTCCGGGAGATTCAATGCTGGTCCATGAGCTCAAAACTTTTGGTTATTGATATTATTCTATATTGAAAAAAAAAAATGTTCGAAAATTTTTCGACCATAAATATGTTAGTATATATGTATAAGTATAATTATTGAAATTCTTAATTATTTTCTTTTTAATATTCATGTATTACAATTTTTATGAAATTACAGTCTAGGAAGAAGCTGCAATTTGTAATTATAGGCTAGCTCAAGGTTTGCTCTTTCTCTCGGGTCGGCACAATACTTACTCGGAGTAGACTCACTTCACAAACAAGGTGGACTTAAACATCAATAGAGAAGACGCCCGCGGGCCGTCGTGATGATAAGGCGCTCACGTAAGGAGAGGAGAAACACATCGGTCCAACCACAAGCAAGCGGGGGTGAACCCTCCGGTCCTTACTGGGCTGGGACCTCCTTAGCGTCCGTTTCTCTCTTCGGCGACCGTGTTTTTTTATATACAGGGGGAATCTGCTCCCAGACACCTGAGAAGATAAATCAGGGTGTGAGGATGGGAGATGTAGCGCTCCTGACCCACTAAACCTTACCTTGTGCTCTAGGCCCTTGCCCTCCCCGGAACCGCCCGAAGGCATTACGTCATGGGAGGGGGCCGGTTGCGCTATGGCGCATCACTAAGTGTTGTGTCAGATCTGACACTCGCTATTGCACAGTGAGCAGCTGTGCAGGACATTCCTCTTGTTGATCGCTGTTAGTTGTTCGCCTAAGTTCTAGAGCAGACGTGATAGCCAGCGAACTGTCCAGGGCCAAACAGGACAGATGTGACCGCTTACCAGCTGCGTGTGCTAAGCACTCTAAGAACCCGGTGTCACTCCTGCCTTTGCACAACGAGGGATTGTGCAGGGCTTATCAACCTCCTGGGACGAGCTGGATGGGGTTCCAGCGTCCTTACTCTGCGGTAGTTCGTTTAGCTGCAATATCTCCCCCATGGGTTCGATAATTAACGTTTCCAGGGCACACCACGAGGAGGCGAACTACTTCATGCCCCTTCGGCGACCGTGTGTAATAGACGGAATGACCTGCAACGCTTGGTTCACTGGAGTGCTAGGGAAGGCGTGTCTTACTGGGGTGCCACGCGTCTTGTTGGAGTATCTAAAGCACGTGGTTTTTGTTTGTCGGTCTCACTGCTGGCACGAGGGATATTCCCGAACGACGTCCACGGTAGGGTAAATCGGTACACTTCACAAAGACCAGTAAACGCGCTCGGTCATATATCCGACTCCGGAATTAAGAGACTCCGCGGCTTTTCAACCTCCAAACGCTTCGGAAAAGCTTCACTGATCAATCACGTATGATAACACCTCACACACGTAGAATTTTTCGATTCAACGGATCCCGGGTGGATTGAGTATCGGAAAACCACCATCTACACTAAGACCGAAAAATCGTCGTCGATCTTCACTTATCTTCAAATCCGAGTGAGGGTAAAAGTCTCATGCGGTTTTTTTTTTTCACTTGTATACTGTCCGTCCTCTTCACTGGGATATCGTGTGTGCACCAATCACTAACGCTACAACTTCCAGCTTCGCCTGGAGTCCCCTTTCTGTACTCATTCTCCCAACTCTCATCTTCCATTGTTGATCATCCGGAAATGATGAAACGTAGAGATCTCATGACATTTGAGATTTTTTTTTTTTTTTTGTATATTAATTTATTTGATAAGGCTCAACCGAATTAACTTAACAGAGCCGAGGATTCATGGTCATTATACAATACATCTTAAAGCTATAGTCAAAAGGTACAACACAATAAACACTTTATCTTCCGCTATCCAAAAAGCCTCCTCCATCAAAACTGGAGCCGCTTCCAGTAGTTTCATTGTATGGCAAATTGTTGTACGCCAACGAGGGTCAGAGCGCGTCCATTGCAGCAATGGACGCAAAACGTGGTCAGCACTCACACACTCATCACGAAACGGTTGCTTTCCAAAGTCGACGACGCATCGACCGAAAGAACTGCTGATGAAGAACAATGAGGAGGACCACACAATGGTTGCTGCCGAGTAAACAGACGATTGCGTAGCACACATCGAAAGTGGCCTGCTTTTGTCGACAGCCGAGTGAACACTGGACATTTGAGATGTTAGCCGTGTCCTAGGCGCTTAATGCAAAGGTGACACACAAGGAAGAAGTGTTAGTTAGTTTACTAAAATGAACTATGTATACCCATTTTGCTGTGGCAAGTTATTAGCAAAATTCACATTAAAGATTGATTAATTGCGTAGCAAATCAGTTCCGGTCGTATGATGCAGGAATCTAAAAAATTTTGTTTTAAATTTCTGTATGGCAAAATAGTGAATTTTTCATGAACATTAACGACAAAGAACTCACCAACACTGGGAGACCGTGAGCTCCTGCCCACCTGTCATAAAACCATCTCGAGCCGTGTCGGTCTTGCTCAATGATTAAGTTAGTAGAATTTTATTTATATTTTAATTTAGTGCGGATCTTTGCCGTCTTTTTTTATTATATACATAGTTTACAATCTAGCAAACCTTACACACCTTTACACAGTGTGGTTGCGAAATTGTTTATTTTATTTATTTATTTCATAAATGTCTGCATGCATAGACTAACACAATTCATAAACAAGTGCTGGTTAGCTAACACATAATATCTTAAGACTAATTAACAAAAGTATTTTTTTAAATTATGTACAAATTATGGAAATTTACAATTTTACAAGTTTTGAGCTATTCAAATCAAACTATATTTTACATTGTGACTAGTTTTAAACCGATAAAAAATGTTATCTTAGTCTTAAATTATGATAAAGTGATTATATTGCCATATTTCGAAGCCAGAAAATTTGAAAATTATAATTGAAAAGTCCTAGAATTTGGTGTTGGTATCTACGTCTGAGATTTAATTGATGTTTAAATAAAGATGATTGAAAAAAAAATCTAAATACAAAATTCATGGAATCATATAACCATGCGTATTATCTAACATGAGATTTTTCTTAAGTTTGAGATCCTTAAAATCCTTATGAGACAATATGTAATTTCATTACAAAAACTTTAACAAATGATCATTGCTTGTTTAAAGTCAGTATGCTTTTAAGGCTCTCCGAAGCGTTGTTATGAAATAAATACATTACAATTTAATGTTTAACCATTAAAATAATAGCAAAGTTCACCATCATAGGGTCGTATTATTGGACGGAGTGGAAATGTATCCAACAGGAAAATAAATAACAAATAGCCTTGACGACTTTTGATTGAATGGCAATTCCAGAGCTTCTATTTAACCATAGTTTAACAAAACAAAACAAAATGCCACGGCTCCCCTTAGCCCCCTAAAATTTTCTTGCAACGCCAATATACCTTTCTTACATCTTCTTACGAAGCTTCCATTCAACTTTTCCCGATTTCCCCGAAATTTGTTCGAACCCGATTAATCGCGATTCTGTTCCCCCCGAATGTTTCTTTCAATATTTCCTGCGGCAACTTCTTCCAACATCCCCCGGAATCATAAAACAAATTCCCCTGGGAAATGTTTCCCGGGTTATCTTCGCTAGGAAGCACTACTCCCACCAAAGCTCATAGATATATTTACTCACCCATTGTTTATGATGTTCTCTCTTCGAATTTTTGATATTCTGAATTTTAGACTTTCCTTGAAATTGCTTGTTTAATATTTTTGAATGCGATCAATTTTATGTAGAATCATAAAGCAGTTTTCTCAAGCCTCACGCCAACGGTACTGTACTACTGTAATTCACAATTTCAGGGGCGATCGCAGGAACGCTCAAGTACTTCAGTGAGTTCCCCTCGCCGGTGTGCATCTACATGGGACCCCTGCCGCATGTAGCCATTTTCGATCCCGAACAGCTGCAGGTGGTTCTGCATTCTCAGAACTGCCTTGACAAATCCGTCCAATACTCATTTTTGCGAGTTTCCGAAACATTGATAAGTGCACCTGGTAAGCCGAGCTGAAATTCAACTACATCAGCTGTGTACTATCTATGTTCTCATTTATGATTGCAGCTCACCTGTGGAAAGGTCAGAGAAAGGCTCTGAACCCTTCGTTTGGACCTGCCATTCTCAGTAGTTTTGCAGACATCTTCAACAAGAAATGCGTCATGCTGACGGAGCGACTGGGGCAGTACGTTGGAAAACCAGAACGTAACTTCTATCGAGACATTTCCAAGTGTACTCTGGACCAAATCTATGGTGAGTTGAGCCATTTTGGGATGAATCATACAACCACTATTAGTGTATTTTTTCTACAGCGACCGCATTTGGATGCGATTTCAACATGCAACAATCACTAGATGGAGAACGCTCATTGGATCTGCAGGAAGCATACATGAAGCTCATGGCAGCTAGATTTTTTACAGTGTGGAAGTATCCGGAATTCATCTATCGTATGACTAAATCATACAAAAAAGAATTAGAGCTCCGTAAAATATATCATGACAGTATTACGGGAAAGATGGTGCAGCAATTATGCGTTGAAGAAAATCTACGCAGCTCAGACGAGCAGAAGCCTACAAACGAAGATACTGGCACCAGAAAACCTCAAAACTTTATCGAATGCCTTATAAAGTATTTACGTGTGGGTGGTCAAGCTTCCAAGGATAAGTATCCCGTGCGTGTGGGAACTCAATCGTCCAAAGAAGACGTGTTTCCACACGTTGATATGACCATATTTGCGGGTAATGATACATCAGCAAAGACCATTTGTTCCATTTTGCTCATGTTGGCAATACATCCGGAAGTGCAAGAACGTTGCTATCAGGAACTCATGGAAGTCTGTCCGGAGGAGGATCAACCTATTTCATACAAAGATGCCGCAAACCTAACGTACCTGGAAATGGTGTGCAAAGAGACTATGAGACTGCTCCCGGCCGTCCCCATAATGGCCCGAGTAACGTCCGGTGACATAAAACTTAACGATCGACACACCATCCCGGCCAATTGCACCATAATTATGGGCATCTTTCAAATACACCGGGATCCGAAAATATGGGGACCAAACGCGGACAATTTTGATCCGGATAATTTTCTACCGGACAACGTTGCCAAACGGCATCCTTATTCGTACATTCCATTCAGTGCAGGACCGCGGAACTGCGTTGGAATGCGCTATGCCTATCTCTCCTCGAAAATCATGGTCGCACACATGTTGAGAAAGTATCGGCTGAAAACATCGCTCACAATGAGCCAGCTGAGGATCCGGTGCGGGTTGCTGCTGCATATATCCAACGGCTGTCAAATGGCGCTTGAGAAACGGGAAGGCTGGTGATTTCAGAATCATTCCGTCATCATGCAGCCAGGAAAGCGAAAGCACTATAGTCTATAGATTAAGAGAAAGTTGAACCTTTAGCGTAGAACTATTGAATGAAATGACTGTTACAAAAAAAAATCAACAATTTTCATTAGCCGCTAGCCGTTTTCAACAGTAGACGAATGATTTCGATTAAAATCATTTAATTCTGGTAGATGAAATGGATTCTTCTATCTAATTTGTGTTTTTAAATTCAATTGATGACATCCAATAGTAATGTGTTGAATCTTCAATCTCATGACCAACCATGAATAAAATATTGTCTTAGATTTTATGAACATTTTGCTTTAATATATTTTCTGGAGCTTCCATAATAACCACTAATCATCAAATGAGAGATTGCAGCTGAGAGCTCTTTTTACTGTTCATCCACGCCAGATACGAAGTTACTGCACTGCCAGCAGTACTCTAGGTGGGTAATACAAAGGTGACACACAAGGAAGAAGTGTTAGTTTGTTTACTAAAATGAACTATGACCATTTTGTATGGCAAGTTTTGCTATAAGAAATGCTCCTCGTGTTTATTCGTGAAATTCACATCAAAGATTGATCACTTGTATAGGTAATCAATTTGGCAAGGCATTTGTAGCCAGCATACACCTTCCGGTTGTATGAAACAGGCCCAAACCTATCCAAATCCGTCCGAATTTTGTTTTGTTTTGGCATTCTTTATGGCAAAATAGGGAACTTTTCATGAGCATTAACGGCAAATAACTCACCAACACCCGCCTAGAGCAGAGCTCTACATTTTCGAAACTCAAGTTTTGTTTCAAGTGAACTCAAGTTTTGTTTCATTCATACACGAAACGAAAATGAAAAAGAAGCACGCTTAGGACGAAAGGCTGGCTGTGGATCTTCTCGTCGTTGCTTTGCTCATCGCTTTCAGTATCGTCGATTTTCTAGTTAAACGAAACCTCATTAGGGCTTTCAGTCCCTTTCACCCGCTCTGTCAATTTGTTTAACATGCGTTATGTCCCTCTTGCGTTCCCGCGCAGGAACCGATAGCTAATCGATAACAACTGAATATTTTAATGTGGTATGATACCAGATTTCGGAATTCTTGTGGTATAAAACCTTGTTTTGATGTGAGTTATCGAAATATTTTGTAAAATATCAAATTAATACCAAAATAACAAAATGTTATCTTTCAGTTTTTAGGGAATAACACCAGAAATAATTATTGAATTGGTATTAGAAGACCTTCAAAATAACTAACTATGGTATTCTGGCATCTAACAAAGCGTCTGTTATCCGTTTGTTATTGTAATAACAAAATTATTTATTAGTTCGTTATTCGAAGCACATTTTTGAGGTATTATTTTTTGGTATTTTACCTCATATGTCAGCCTCACTAATATCATATTTGCCAGTTATGCTATTTTCATACCTGAATTTGGTATTAATAAGTTATTTTTTCCTGCTCGTGCTACTTTTTTTTTGGACAAATATGTGAATTAATGATAAATAAAACATATTACGTTTAATCTTCAAGTGGTTTCACCTAAGAAATGCTTTAAATATATATTTTCATTTTCCGTCATAAACGTCATGAAACCACTATTGATGTTTCATGAAATACGAAACTATCAAAGTCGAGCGCTCTTCACTCGTCCGCTTCACCGGACCCAGTGAGCCCAGTGTAATTTTTGATGCGCAAAATCTATGCCAAATTTTGACGAATTTGGTAGTGACTTAGATTTACGGGAGAATTTTTATGAAAGTATGCTGCTCATAAACTGAAGGGAAAGGAGTAAGAGTGATTAAGTGAAAAATAGGAGCGTGAGAGATGTGAAGTGATATGTGAAAAGTAAGGGCAGCCCTAAGTGTACCTTTAAATTCAAAATTCAAAAACTTTCCATTAAAAACATCCAAATGATCCATAAAACATCGGAGAAAATCCTTAAAAAAAAGTTTGAATGATCCATAAAAAATACCAATATTATCATTCTGTTATGTAAAATTTAGCAATACAATTGCTAAATGTACCGCTAAATTTCTTTAGAATGAGCATTGCAATTGTACGAATTACCCATAAACATATTGCAATTGATCAATAAAACATTCAGCAATGTATGTATGTATGTATGTAAAGGATACCACTCATTGTTGCACGGCACAGCCATTAGACAGTGGATCATCCTCCAAGTATGACTTGATCAAGTACGATACCTGGTTGTATTCAATTTACCATTGTAAGAAGGGCCAAAAACGGAGGGGCGAACCCGTAAGCAGATACACTTACGCGCAATCCGCGGGATCAGGAGAATCTCCTTCCAATGATAAAATCCTACAACCCGATGTAGAACAAGCCATCATACGAGGGAACGTCCCAATGAGTGGGGAGAAGAGCCCGCCGTCAATTCACGAAATGTTAATGACAGGGAGTTGGCAATTCCACTCTCCCCATCCAAATCGCTTCAATCCGGTGCCCTGGTGGTCCCATCCCTCCCCTTTGCATTTAATGTGTATATATATATATATTTATATCGGCATTACCCGTTAGATTTTGTCAACACAATTTTGCCTTCTTAGCTTTTCAAAATCTTTAATAAATGCAAATCTTATCATCTGACCTATTCCGCGAGTCGTGTGAATCTCCACCACCAATGAGTCAACAAAAGTCACGCTCTAGTGGGGTGACTCTCCGTGCAATCAAATGAAGAGTCACCTCACACGAGGCGACCCCCGTCACCCTACTAGCGACAGAGAGCCATACTACTCGCAGAACAGGCCTGCAGGTGACGTTTAAAGCTCCACAATTTTACTGAAAATCTAAGAAAATTATTGAACAGAATTTAATAATATAACTGCAGAGCACAAGCAGTTTAAATATACTGAAGACGTGTTACCAAAATCGAACGGATACTTTATATGTTTATTAATTTATCTTACCTTGATGGACCAACTACTTACCTGTGCTTAATGGCCATAAGCTCCAATCGGTATTTCCCGGTAAATCCGATCACGATCCTTTACAACATTTGGCCGACACCAACGCGCATCATCGCAACCACTCAGCACTTTCTTCCTCTTCACTAAATTGAAGGGCTTCTAGGGAAACTATTTTCTTGCGGACCGCGTTGCGGTCGGACTTCACTGTTCTTCTCCTTCTTTTTCTCTTTTAACCCCTACTACGAGAAGATGAAACACCTATGTGGCACTCACTCTCCTACTATCGGTTGTCGCTGCATTAAAATCCATAAAACATTCAGCAATGAACCTTAAACTAAAGAAAGTGATCCATAAAAATCAAGTTTGCGGACTTAAAAATATAGGCATGATCCATAAGTTAGACGTATATTATTCATGTTTAGGACATTATTTTTTTTTTTAATTTTGATCCATAAACCTTGAAAAATTGCTCCACTGCTTATCTACTTAGATTTACTGTCCTGCCCGTGTATTTTAGGTAGAGTTGCGAAGCGACGGGCAAGCGTCTAGAATTAGCTTCCAAAAGAAGATTTTATAATAATATTCATAAGAAGCTTAATAAGGAACTTCTTTAAGACGCTCTTCTGACAAAAAACATGGGCAGAACAGTAAACCTGAGTAGCTACGCAGTTATGTAGCAATTTTCCAAGGTTAATGGATCAAATTAAAAAAGGGTCCAAAACATGAAAAACATATGTTAAGAACTTTTTTCATCCTTTTTCCTGCCGCAACTGGTCTAGGGATTCCTCCAGCCAGACCTCATTGGTACTTCTTTTTCCAGATTCTGATCCGGCATCACTCCTTGCACTAATCTTTCTGCTAGGTGGTTTCTTTGGGACAGACTCCTTGGTTCCTTTTGGCACCTTCAGCATATTTGTGCACTCCGAGCACGTCTACGGAACCTCATTTACAGCTGTTGCCTTACCAGCACAACTATAATGGGTCCAGAACTGGACCATATCATCTACGTGGTTATGGCATTCACAAACCGTACAGTTTCGATCGCTGTTCTGGTCTTCACTCAACGGTGGTGTTGAATCACTGTTGATCCCTATATCCGATATTCGGATTAATGAAAGCAACTTCCTCAGAGCAGTCTCGTTTTGGACAGTTGGAAGCTGAAATAGGTTTTATTATAGCCATTAAGATTGGTTTAGATTTTATATTAGTTTATTAAAACCTATTTCAGCTTCAAGCTGTTCAAAACGAGACTGCTTTGAGGAAGTTGCTTTCATTAATCCGAACATGGCTATATTTTTAAGAGCGCAAACTTGATTTTCTATGGATCACTTTCTTTAGTTTAAGGTTCACTGCAGAATGTGTTATGGATCAATTGTTTGCCAAAAGTAAGTACGTGGATTGTTTCAAGTTTCTCTATTGACGGGAGAGCACTGTAGGTAGATTAATCCTACTCCAACAAAATCTTACCACGACAGAAGCACCTGGAATAAAGGTTGCTAAAGGTCAATTCAAAAAAAAACAACGTCCTTTCTACTTGATGCTCACTCACGTCACTGCTCAGCTCTACCATCCATTTCACCGACGAAAAAAATTCCAACAGGAACGACAGTGAGACGCCGCAGCGCGATCAGCTGTTGGTTCAACTTGATTACCATGAAAAGTGAGCAGCTGGATAATAGATGCGTGAGATGTGAGGAGTGCATATGAATAATGTAAAACATAGATTTGAGGAGTGAAATGTAAGTTTTGAATGAGTAGGGAGTGAGAAGATAAATTTTAATAGTTATTAAGTGATAAATCGATGCGTGAGATGATAAAAATGCAATGTTGAAAGGAAGAAATGTGAGGATGGAGTGAGAAGTGAGATGAAATGAATCTCTTTCCACATCTCGTTGCTCAGATCAAACACATTAACTTTTATAATTTTCTCCACACCCTTCTTCTCATATCTCAGTTCTCATTTATTAACTTTTAACAAATCACAAACCGCATTAGAGATGTGCGATCCGATCCCGAGCTGTTCTAAAGACTTGATTCACTCAAATGAGCTCATAACCAACGGTTTAA